CACGCCATGTCGTACATGGATTCCGTTGTTTGGAGTATCTCTCGCTACTTCACAAGGCGGTATATGTGGTGGGGACCGGGGGGGGGGGGTGTCTTTGATTGTACTGGATGTTGCGTGGGTGTTTCTGAAGGTAGGGTGGTTGGCTGTGATTGTTTGGGTCGATGGTGCGTGGTTGATTGTTGTGGGGACCGATTTTCTGTTTTATTCCCTTGGGTTTCTCTTGAGGGGGTGGAGAAATGGGGGGTGACAGATGGGCTTGGGGACATTTCTATACTTTATGCCACCAGCCGCCGTTGCTGTCTATTCTTGTTCTTCAGGAGGTGTTGTAGTTGTCGGCGTGTGGCCTGGCTGGTATGACGGTGTTGGGGGCAGTATGGGGGGGGGTTTGTTTAGTCTGGAAGTGGGCGTGAAGTTAGTGTGGGGGGGGGATCGGTGTGAGGGGGAGTGATGGGGGGGGGGGGGGGGGGGGTGAACGTGTGGGGCATTGTGTGAGGTGGTGTTTGGGGGGGGGAGGGGATGGTAGTGGTAGTGGTTTCTGTTGGTCTATTGGCTGGGGTTGGATACTTATGTTGTGGGTTGCAGAGTGGGGGTGGGTGTGCATAGGGTCTGATGATCATGGTCTCGATGTTTATGCACGCTGGTATATGAATAGTGCGAGTACGTTAGGCTGAGTTTTTGTTTTGTTGGGCGAGCGTTAGCGTAGGTGATTTTAGGTTTGAGGAGGGGGGTGTCTGCTTATTTGAGGTGTTTTTGTTGGGATGTTAGAATGGTTAGTCCGGTTCGGGACGAGTTGTGGTTATTAGAGTGGTGGAGTTGTTTTTTTAGTTGTGATTAGCTTTTTGCTTGGGGTAGTTGTTTGGTTTTGTGTGATGAAAAGGGAGGAACAATGCGTGTTGGGCGGGCGTATGGGGTGTAGTTGTTGTGTTAATGTTATTGTATGGTTTTATTGTGTGTTTTGTGGGTGATATTATGTATATTCGTAGTTGAGTTTTTTTTTTGTGATGGGTTTAGTTGAGGGTTGCTTGTTGTATTTTTTTTTTTATTTTTGTTTAGTTTGTTTTTTGTTATATTTTGTTTTTTGTTATCTTTTTTAGTTCTAGTGGGTGTGTTTTGGGGTCTCGTGTTATGTTTTTGTTTGTGTTATGTGTGACGTTTGTGGAGTAGTTGAGGGGTGTTTATTTTTGCGGGAGGGCGGTTTTTTGAAGTCGGGGGATTATTTTGTTGGGGGTGTGGTATTTAGTTATAAGTTTTTATTGGGGCGGTTGGTTTTATTTTATTTTTTTGTTTTGGTTGTTTTTTTTTATTTGTTTGGTGTGTTTATTGTTTTTTGATTTTAATTTTTGTGTTTGTGAGTTTTTTTTTTTTTTGGTTGTTATTGACAGTTTTTTGGGAAGGTTTTTGTTGTTTTTTTATTTGTGAGTTGGTCTGTTTTTTTTTTTTTTTTTTTGAGTATTATGTAATGGGTTTGTAGTGGGAGGTGTTTTTTTTTTTTGTTTTGTGTTTTATTTTTATTTTTTTTGTGTTTGGGGGGTTTTTGTTTTTTTTTTTTTTTTGTTTTTGTGTTTTTTTTTTTTTTTTTTTTGTTTTTTTATTTTTTTGTTATATTTAGTTTTTTGTTTTGTTTTTTTTTTTTTGTTGTGTTGGTATTTTGGTTTTGGTTTTATTTTTTGGGGTGTTTTATGGGATGTTGTTGTTGTTTTTTTTTTTTGTTTGTTTTTTTTTTTTTGTGGTTGTTTTTGTTTTTTTTTTGTTTGTTTTTTTGTGTTGTTTTTTTTGTTTTGTTGTTTTTTTTTTTGTTTTTTTGTTTTTGTGTTTTTTGTTTTTGTTTTTTATTTTGTGATTATTTTGGTTTTTTTTTTTTTTTTTGTTTTTTTTGGGGGGGTTGGTGTTGGGGGGGGGGGGGGTTTTTTTTTTATTTTTTTATTTTTGCTTGGGGTTGGTAATATTTGTAATTAGACTTTATGATTTATTTGGTTGTAGTCGCACTGTTTATGAGAAACTGTCTGTACATCTGTGTTGCATGGAGTCCCCCAATTCTGGCCTTTGATCAGTATTCCAGCCAGGAGATTGGACAACATTCCAGAGTTCTTCTTCTATTTCTTGGTTGGACTCAGAAACGGATTTTTGATGTACCCCACAAGTGTTCTATTGGATGAAGAATCCGGGGATTGGGCTGGCCCACTCCCATACACGTCATCTTGTTGGCCTGGAACCAAGATGTTAGCCCAGTTTACTGGTGTGTTTGGGGTGTTATTGTCTTGTTTGCGAACACCTTTCAAGGGCATTTCCTTGCAGCATAAGCAGGCATGACTTTCAAGTATTCTGATGGATTCACACTTGATCCATGATGTTGTATGCTGATAAATGAGGCCAAACACCGTTGGGGTTTGGTGTTTGTTGATGGGTATTGACTTGCGGTTAAGCGTAGACAAACCATGCCTTGTACGGTGTTGCTCATCTTGGTTTATTCTGTGGCTTTTGGGGCGGTGGTAGTTTATTTAAATGGCTTCAGTAACAGGCCACGTCTGAGCTGGTTGTTGTGTCTGGTAGATGGTTATGTTTCTGTCGCTGGTATACCCTATGTCTGGCGACTTACTCTCCATCTGTAGGTATGTGTTGTCGGTTTTTGATTTAGGCCAGTCAATGTTCTGGCAGGTAGTTGAGGTTGGGCTCTTCAGGGACGGGGTGAGCTGGAGTTCCCCAACAGTAGGTTGTTGGTGGGACTTCTTGCAGTAGTAGTGGTGCTTTGTACGGAGGCGTTGTTTATTGTGGTTTGTCAAGTATTGGTCTCGAGTATATCAACGTCCACCACCGCCTTAGTCCCCTTCCCCAAACTGATTGGACTGTGGTTTTTTTGTGTTTTTTTTTTGTGTTTTTTTTTCTTTTTTTTTTTTTTGTTCGCTCCCCCCTCGCCCCATTTTGTTAAAGTCTTTCTATGACTCATAGGCAATGGAGAAGTAATATTAGTCTGTCCTGCACTTTCTTTATTGTTTTTCCCCTCTCAGATCCACTTTTTAATCAAGGTACGCTGTTCTTCTGAACAATGTCTGGAACGACCCATTTTCCTCAGAATTTCAGAGAGGAAATGCACTGTAAACCAGCATGTCCAACATTTGCTGCCTTCCTTCCTTAAATAAGGGCAATAATTACCACCTGTTTTTCAAAGAATGAATGACCTCACTAATAGAACTCCACACTGCTATTATTTTGAACACGCCCCTTTCAATTAGTGATTCAATGACACAGAATCAGCAGCATGCATGTCATGACTGTGGGTCTGTTGGATTTCTATGACTCTACTACACCTGCTAGGAAATTATTTGCCATGTAGAAATATCATTTCCACCAAAAACAGTGATTGATCCGGTTAGTGATGTCTGACTGAGCACAAATGTATAAAAAAAAAATCTAAAAGTTCAAAAAATTATCATGTGACACGACGGTTCCGAATCCAGGGGTCCTTCTTTGGGTGTCTACCTTACTGCAGCGCTTTCCACTTCTGAAGAGAGAGGGCAAGGGGAAAAAAAAAATTGGAGAGGGGGGGGTTTACATTGGACTTTCCTCTCCTCTATAACATAGGAAGGAGGTGTTTTGTAGCCCAACAGGGAGAGAACTGAGAAGGGCTGACAACACTCCTTGAGATTTCAGTGCTGTAGAGGCATCATTGTCACCTCAATACAGGAAGTTCGTTACTGATTTCTGGCAGGATCAGCAGGCATTTTTCTGTATTTGCAGCATTTTTTATGGGATAAAACATTAATAATGTAATGCAGAGATGTACTGATTTCATTTAATCCCCTCTGATAAACTCTTCAAAGTACTGATTTTAAAAAAAAAAAAAAAAAAAAAAAGTTGGGCAATGGCGTGCCACATGCGTTTTGCATTTACGAACTGAGCCGTCTGTGGTGGGTCCCGGAACTTATTAGGACCATGGAAGCCCCTGCCATTCTCCGTCAGACATCTGGCGGTCTATGAGATCCCCCGCTGACTTTATTGGGTCGAGCGCTCGGACATGTCTCATGAAGAATTAGTAACATGTATTTACTCCTTTTATTTAATGGTCCATTTTAAAAAAAAACGGAGATGAAAACCAGGCAGAGCTGTGATATATTGTCGTTGATGAGTTACCCTGCGACCCGCGTGCTTTGACACGCACATAAACCTCCATAAGGCATGCTGCATGCGTGTCATTGAAGAACTTAAAGGGCATGTAAACCCGACAGTAAACGTCTCCTAATTGGTCCCTTTTGGTCTGTTAAATAGACTCTGGACAGTGTTCTGTTATATCGCAAAAAGAAAAATTTGATCCTTCCAGAAATCCTGTGAGCTGATAGGTTATTGTGCTCTCTGCCTGTGCTGTACTGGAATCCGTTACATTGTTCTCAGCTACCTGTGTGGCCTACAGAACACCTCCCCTTTATGTTCTAAAGTAGAGGCGAGGGAAAGTGTTCTGTTATGTCCATGAATGACATCACCACTCCATCAGAAAGAACAGTATGTTCTATGCTGCCAATCTAGGGCAGGAGGTGTGGTTCTGACTAGGGGTGTGTTGGACCACTGCAGAGAGACCACTGTTTCCTTTAGAGAGCAAGGGTGCCTGGAGTCAGTAGAAAGAGTGCTCCTTACATTGGTGGTCAGTGGGAAGAATGTCCCTTACATTGGTTGTCATTGGGAAGAATGTCCCTTACATTGGTGGTCATTGGGAAGAATGTCCTTACATTGGGGGTCATTGGGAAGAATGTCCCTTTCATTGGTTGTCATTGGGAAGAATGTCCTTTACATTGGTGGTCGTGGGAAGAATGTCCCTTAAATTGGGGTTCAGTGGGAAGAATGTCCCTTACATTGGTGATCAGTGGGAAGAATGTTCCCTTACATTGGTGGTCATTGGGAAGAATGTCCCTTACATTGGGGGTCAGTGGGAAGAATGTCCCTTACATTGGGGATCAGTGGGAAAGAATGTCCCTTACATTGGTGGTCAGTGGGAAGAATGTCCCTTACATTGGTGGTCAGTGGGAAGAATGTCCCTTACATTGGTGGTCAGTGGGAAGAATGTCCCTTACATTGGGGGTCAGTGGGAAGAATGCCCCTTACATTGGGGGTCAGTGGGAAGAATGTTCCTTACATTGGTGGTCAGTGGGAAGAATGTCCCTTACATTGGTTGGTCAGTGGGAAGAATGTCCCTTACATTGGTGGTCAGTGGGAAGAATGCCCCTTACATTGGGGGTCAGTGGGAAGAATGCCCCTTACATTGGGGGTCAGTGGGAAGAATGTCCTTACATTGGTGGTCAGTGGGAAGAATGTCCCTTACATTGGTGGTCACTGGGAAAAATGCCCCTTACATTGGGGTCAGTGGGAAGAATGTCCCTTACATTGGGGGTCAGTGGGAAAGAATGTCCCTTACATTGGGGGTCAGTGGGAAGAATGTCCCTTACATTTGGTTATCAGTGGGAAGAATGTCCTTACATTGGGGGTCAGTGGGAATGTTGCCCTTACATTGGGGGTCACTGGGAAGAATGCCCCTTACATTGGTGATCAGTGGGAAGAATGTCCCTTACATTGGAGGTCAGTGGGAAAGAATGTCCCTTACATTGGTGATCAGTGGGAAGAATGTTCCTTACATTGGGGGTCAGTGGGAAGAATGCTCCTTACATTGGGGGGTCAGTGGGAAGAATGTCCTTACATTGGTGGTCAGTGGGAAGAATGCTCCTTACATTGGTGGTCAGTGGGAAGAATGTCCCTTACATTGGTTATCAGTGGGAAGAATGTCCCTTACATTGGGGGTCAGTGGGAAGAATGCCCCTTACATTGGGGGTCAGTGGGAAGAATGCCTCTACATTGGGGGTCAGTGGGAAGAATGCCTCTTACATTGGGGTCAGTGGGAAGAATGCCCCTTACATTGGGGGTCAGTGGGAAGAATGCCCTTACATTGGGGGTCAGAAGGAAGAATGCCCCTTACATTGGGGTCAGTGGGAAGAATGTCCCTTACATTGGGGGTCACTGGGAAGAATGCCCCTTACATTGGGGGTCACTGGGAAGAATGCCCCTTACATTGGGGGTCACTGGGAAGAATGCCCCTTACATTGGGGGTCACGTGGAAAGAATGCCCTTACATTGGGGGTCAGTGGGAAGAATGCCCCTTACATTGGGGGTCACTGGGAAGAATGCCCTTACATTGGGGGTCAGTGGGAAGAATGTCCCTTACATTGGGGGTCAGTGGGAAGAATGCCCCTTACATTGGGGATCAGTGGGAAGAATGTCCCTTACATTGGGGGTCAGTGGGAAGAATGCCCCTTACATTTGGGGTCAGTGGGAAGAAGGTCCCTTACATTGGGGGTCAGTGGGAAGAAGGTCCCTTACATTGGGGGGGTCAGTGGGAAGAATGTTCCCTTACATTGGGGGTCAGTGGGAAGAAGGCCCCTTACATTGGTGATCAGTGGGTAGTATGTCCCTTACATTGGTGGTCAGTGGGAAGAATGTCCCCATCACATTGGTTGTGGTGGGAAGAATGCCTCTTAGTGGGAAGAATGCCCCTGACATGGGGTCAGTGGGAGGCACCAACATTGGTTATCAGTGGGAGAATGTCAAGCATGAGCAAGAATGCCCCTTGGGGGTCACCTTGGAAGAATTGCCCCTTACATTGGATGGAGAGCGAATCTCCCTTACATTGGAGGTCAGTGGAAAAATGTCCCTTGGTGGTCAATGGGAAGAATGTCCCTTACATTGGGGGGTCAGTGGGAAGAATGTTCCTTACATTGGGGGTCAGTGGGAAGAATGTTCCTTACATTGGGGGTCAGTGGGAAGAATGCCCCTTACATTGGTTATCAGTGGGAAGAAATGTCCCTTACATTGGTGGTCAGTGGGAAGAATGCCCTTACATTGGTGGTCAGTGGGAAGAATGTTCCTTACATTGGTGGTCAGTGGGAAGAATGTCCCTTACATTGGGGGTCAGTGGGAAGAATGTCCCTTACATTGGGGTCAGTGGGAAGAATGTCCCTTACATTGGGGGTCAGTGGGAAGAATGTCCCTTACATTGGGGTCAGTGGGAAGAATGTCCCTTACATTGGTGGTCAGTGAGAAGAATGCCCCTTACATTGGGGGTCAGTGGGAAGAATGCCCCTTACATTGGGGGTCAGTGGGAAGAATGTTCCCCTTACATTGGGGTCAGTGGGAAGAATGTCCCTTACATTGGGGTCAGTGGGAAGAATGCCCCTTACATTGGGGATCAGTGGGAAGAATGTCCCCTTACATTGGGGGTCAGTGGGAAGAAAAAGAATGTCCCTTACATTGGGGATCAGTGGGAAGAATGTCCCTTACATTGGGGGTCAGTGGGAAGAATGTCCCTTACATTGGAGGTCAGTGGAAAGAATGCCCCTTACATTGGAGGTCAGTGGGAAAGAATGTCCCTTACATTGGTGATCAGTGGGAAGAATGTCCCTTACATTGGTGGTCAGTGGAAGAATGTCCCTTACATTGGGGGTCAGTGGGAAGAATGTCCCTTACATTGGAGGTCAGTGGGAAGAATGCCCTTACATTGGGGGTCAGTGGGAAGAATGTCCCTTACATTGGGGATCAGTGGGAAGAATGTCCCTTACATTGGTGGTCAGTGGGAAGAATGTCCCTTACATTGGTGGTCAGTGGGAAGAATGTCCCTTACATTGGGGGTCAGTGGGAAGAATGTTCCTTACATTGGGGGGTCAGTGGGAAGAATGCCCCTTACATTGGGGGTCAGTGGGAAGAATGTTCCTCTTACATTGGGGGTCAGTGGGAAGAATGTCCCTTACATTGGGGGTCAGTGGGAAGAATGCCCCTTACATTGGGGGTCAGTGGGAAGAATGCCCCTTACATTGGGGGTCAGTGGGAAGAATGTCCCTTACATTGGGGGTCAGTGGGAAGAATGTCCCTTACATTGGGGGTCACTGGGAAGAATGTCCCCCTTACATTGGGGGTCACTGGGAAGAATGCCCCTTACATTGGGGGTCACTGGGAAGAATGCCCCTTACATTGGGGGTCACTGGGAAGAATGCCCCTTACATTGGGGGTCACTGGGAAGAATGCCCCTTACATTGGGGGTCACTGGGAAGAATGCCCCTTACATTGGGGGTCAGTGGGAAGAATGCCCCTTACATTGGGGGTCAGTGGGAAGAATGCCCCTTACATTGGGGGTCAGTGGGAAAGAATGCCCCTTACATTGGGGGTCAGTGGGAAGAATGCCCCTTACATTGGGGGTCAGTGGGAAGAAGGTTCCCCTTACATTGGGGGTCAGTGGGAAGAAGGCCCCTTACATTGGGGGTCAGTGGGAAGAATGCCCCTTACATTGGTGATCAGTGAGGTAGAATGTCCTTACATTGGGGGTCAGTGGAAGAATGTCTCCCATACATTGGGGGTTGGAATGCAGTGGATCCTGAAGAAGGCCCCAACAGATGGGGGGTCAAGTCCAAGAAGCCCCTTACAGTGGTGGTCAGTGGGAAGATTGTCCCTTACAGATGGAGAGTGATCAGTGGGAAAAATGTCCCTTACATGGTGGTTAGGTCATGGGAAGAATGCCCCTTACATGGTGGTCAGTGGGAAGAATGTCCCTTACATTGGGGGTCAGTGGGAAGAAAGAATGTCCCTTACATTGGGGGTCAGTGGGAAGAATGTCCCTTACATTGGTGATCAGTGGGAAGAATGTTCCCTTACATTGGGGGTCAGTGGGAAGAATGTTCCTTACATTGGGGGTCAGTGGGAAGAATGTCCTTACATTGGGGGTCAGTGGGAAGAATGTCCTTACATTGGTGGTCAGTGGGAAGAATGTCCCTTACATTGGGGTATCAGTGGGAAGAATGTCCCTTACATTGGTGGGTCAGTGGGAAGAATGTCCCTTACATTGGTGGTCAGTGGGAAGAATGTCCCTTACATTGGGGGTCAGTGGGAAAGAATACTCCCTTACATTGGTGGTCAGTGGGAAGAATGTCCCTTACATTGGGGTCAGTGGGAAGAAGTCCCTTACATTGGTGGTCAGTGGGAAGAAGAGTGTCCCTTACATTGGGGGTCAGTGGGAAGAAGTCCCTTACATTGGTGATCAGTGGGAAGAATGTCCCTTACATTGGGGGTCAGTGGGAAGAATGGCCCTTACATTGGGGGTCAGTGGGAAGAATGCCCCTTACATTGGGGGTCAGTGGGAAGAATGCCCCTTACATTGGGGGTCAGTGGGAAGAATGTCCCTTACATTGGGGGTCAGTGGGAAGAATGCTCCCCATCACAGGGGTGGTTGGAATGCCAAGTGCTTCTGATCCTGCAACTATGCAGGCACCAACAGATGGGAGGTCAAGCATCCAAACCGCAAGCAGCCTTTGGAGGATCCTTGGTTGAGATTTGCTGTACTAGATGGAGAGCGATCTCTTGAGAAAAATAGTTCCTGTCTAACGATCTCGCCCGGGGGTCATGCTTGATGCTCCTGACATCCCGGTTGTCAGCCGATCTTGTCAAAGTCAGCGACATCTGGAGACAATATTCATACCAAGTACCCCAAATACTCTGACGTGAACCAGGACAGCAGTGGGTGAGCGATTTCATCTAAAGTTGGAATAAACATTTAGTAAATACAACAGACTACAAGTATGGACCAATGGTGTCACCCTCAGGAAACCCGACCTGAGAAATGCCAATCCGCTATCACTGGAGTGCATGTAGACAAGAAGCAGCTGCAGGAGACCAGCAGCACTGAGCCAGAACAAAGAATGAAAAAAATGGTTCACTGCTTAAACAAATGCTAATTGTTTCATATGTGGTGCTTTAGCCAACTACAGTACCTTGAAAAAGTATTCATACCCCTTGAAATGTTCCAACCAAAAACGTCAAAGTATTTTATTGGGATTGGATGTGATAGACCGACGCAAAGTGGCACATAATTGTGAAGTGGAAGGAAAGTGAGAAATGGTTTTCCAAATTAAATCTGTGAAAAGTGTGGCGGCATTTGTGTTCAGCCCCCCGGATTCAATACTTTGTAGGACCCCCTTTCGCAAAAAATCCAGGTGCAAGTCTTTTTGAGGATGTCTCTACCATCTAGAGAGGGACATTTCTGCCCGTTCTTCTTTGCAGAATCGCTCAAGCTCTGTCAGATTGGATGGAGAGCGTCTGGGAACAGCAATTTTCAACTCTTGCCACAGATTCTCTCCATTGGATTTAGGTCTGGACTGTGACTGGGCCATTCTAACACATGAAGATGCTTTGATCTGAACCATTCATTGTAGCTCTGGCTGGATGTTTCGGGTCGTTGTCCTGCTGGAAGGTGAACCTTCTCCCCGGTCTCAAGTCTTTTTGCAGACTCTAACAGGATTTTGTTTTCTAAGATGGCCCTGTATTTGGCTCCATCCATCTTCCCATCAACTCTGATCAGCTTCCCTGTCCCTGCTGAAGAAAAGCATCCAACAGGATGCTGACACCACCATGTTTCACGGTGGGGATGGTGTGTTCAGGGTGATGCGCAGTGTTCGTTTTCCACCACATATCGTGTTTTGCTTTTAGACCAAAAAAGTTAAATTTTTTGTCTCATCTGACCAGAGCACCTTCTTCCACATGTTTGCTGTGTCCCCCACATGGCTTCTCACAAACTGCAAACGGGACCTCTTAAGGCTTTCTTTCCAACAATGGCTTTCTTTTTACCACTCTTCCATAAAGGCCAGGTGTCAGGAAGTGGCGTCCTGTCGGCCGGCGCACACGCACTGGCGACAGCTCACGCCGGGACACAAGCACCAGGTCCCGGCGAGCTGCAGATGACAGGACGCCGCGCATGCGCAGTAGGAGCCGCGGGTGCGCCTCGGGGGCGGCCAATGACAGCCCGGGGGCGTGTCCTGGACGGCCAATGACAGTGCAGGGCGCAATATTTAAAGATGCCCTGCACTGTCACTATCGCCGCAAGGTCTATCTGTGTTCCTGGATCCTGTACCTAGTTATTGACCCTGATTGACCCTGATTTTGCTGCCTTCTCTGGTGTTTGACCCGGATCGTCCTGACTACGCTGCCTTCTCCTGTATTTGACCCGGATTGTCCTGACTACTGTGCCTTCTCCCCTCCTGACTCCCGGCTTGTTTTGACCTACCTACGGACTGACTTATCCTGCTGACCCTGCGTGTGACCTGACGATTCTCCGCCTGCCGATTCTGTACCTCGCCTACCCCACAGGACCACTGCTCGTGACCTATCCTGCTTGGTCCCGCCGTCCTCACATTTGGCTCTCCCGGTACCTATACATCCGCGGAGGTTCCCTCTGCCACTGGTGGGCCTGCTCAGAGGTCGTGACCTGGTCCTGGTCTGTTTCAAGTCCATCCCCACCATCAGGGGCCCTGGTGAAAGCACAGACCGGGACTTAGACTCCACGCTTTGGGTAGGTCTGTCAAGTGGGCTGCCAGAGGCACCACCTGGCGGATCTTAACACCAGGTTTGTGGAGTGCACGACTAATCGTTGTCTTGTGGAAAGATTCTCCTACCTGAGTACCTGAGCTGTGATCTCTGCAGCTCTTCCAGAGTTCCCATGGGCCTCTTGGGTGCTTCTCTGACTAATGTTCTCCTTGCCCGGCCTGTCAGTTTAGGTGGGTGGACGGCCATGTCTTGGTAGGTTTGCTGTTGTGCCGTACTCTTTCCATTTTCAGATGATGGATTGAACAGTGCTCCGTGAAATGTTCAAAGCTTGGGAGATTTTTTTTATAACCGAACCCTGCTTTAAACTTCTCCACAACTTTATCCCTGACCTGTCTGGTGTGTTTCTTGGTTTCGTGATGCTGTTTGTTCACTAATGTTCTCTAACAAACCTCTGAAGGCTTCATAGAATCGCTGTATTTATACTGAGATTAAATTACAGTCGGGTTGACTCTTATTTACTAATTAGGTGACTTCTGAAGGCAATTGGTTCCACTAGATTTTAGTTAGGGGTATCAGAGTAAAGGGGGCTGAATACAAATGCACACCACACTTTTCAGATATTTGTAAAAAAATTTTGAAAACCATTTATCATTTTCCTTCCACTTCACAATTCTGTGCCGCTTTGTTTTGGTCCATCCCATAAAATACAATTACGTTTTTGGTTGTTACGTGACAAAATGTGGAGAATTTCAAGGGGGGTGAAGATTTTTTTTCAAGGTGCTGTAAATGCCATTTTTGGTTGGGTTTTACATCTACTTTAATGTTAAGACTGCAGAACATTTTTTTTTTGTTTGATCAGTACGCCAGCTGTAAGGCACACATTTACTTTGAAGGGTGTAGTTTGCCTATAAAACCAGTTGGCTCCGTTCCATGTCAAAGCTGCGTATTGTCCGTAGACTGTTAGCAGTCCGAAAGCCTCAAGACGCTTTGTGTAGACGGAGTCAAGTCCCCACCTATAAAGGTAATATTGACACCATCGACCCCTCAGGAGGACAGCCGTCTGATGGACCTTCCATGGATCGGTGTTCCATTTGTCGGTCTGATATCCTCACCCTGGCAGAGCTCGTCGTATATTAGCAGCCCAGAATGGCCCAACGATGGGTCACGTGTCCAATGAAAAGAGAGACGTCCTCTTAGAACCTTGGAAATGTCATATATTCAGTTGACTGTTAAAATGGATTTCCATATATTATCTTTATCCCCGGCCGTTCCATCCCCATCCAGAACATCCGTTGACTTGAGTGTGTTGAGTTTACTGTGAAACCTTCTGCCTGTCCGCGCTCGTTACGGGCCCCAGTGGGGAGCCGTCTTCTCCAAACAGCCAGAGCTCCTGTTGTTTTAGTAGTTTTAGTTTTACAGCAAAAATAACACCGGTTCTGGCAAATGGAGATGTAAGTGCATACAGAGTGAAGGATGGTTTAACCCCCGCATTCACTGAACTTCTCTAAAGCCAACCTTAAAAGCCAACCCTGTATTGTTAGTAGCCATTGGTTTTTTTCTTCCCCGATAC